AGTGGGAGGCACAGTTCAATGTTAAAGAGTTTCTTCCAACTCTAACTGGAAGAAGAACCACAGAGAACGTGTGCCTGTTCCACTGCCAGCCTCTTCTTCCTTCTGTGAGGCTGTGGCCATGACTGTCTCCTGCTAACTTACAAATATCCAGGTTCAAGCACATCCAGGATGTGTATGACACAGACCAAAGGAAGCCAGAGGACAAATTGAACAAGAAGCTGGTCCAGACAAGTAATGTACAACACTGGATTACAAGAATAATAAGAATGATTTTTTCCCCTGTTACTAACATGGGCTAAATATATCATGACTCTAATCTCCACCGTGAGAAATCAAATGCTTTCTGTAACTTCTTTAATGGCTGTGGGTTTTGGAAAATATCTAGCTACTACTATGGATTTCCTCAGAAAGTGAGAAACTTGTTCATCCACTAGCAGATGATAAGCACCTGTCTGCCCTGTACGTGATGCCAGAGAGCATGTGGGAAATGAGCTGGTGTGTCATGATATCTAGCTGAGCACCAGTACTCTGGGGCCACACTAACTTCCTGAGCTGAGAGTGTATCTCAGAGAGACTTAGATCAAGACAGTAAGAGAGAGGCTCAACTTCTAAACAGGTGTCCTAAAACAGGCCTTGCCGACTCTGCCATCCATGAGACCAGAATCCATGAGGAGCTGGACCAGAGGTTGAGCCAAGTTTGAATGGAGGAAATGATCTTAAGCCTGATGCAGGATGTAGAGAACTGCTTGGTCCAGAAGGGTAACTTCAAGTTGCAGCTCAGATTTAGCTAAGCAGTAAGTCTTTGTATAGCTAAGTTGGAAACTGTAGCACATCTGCAACCAAGAGGGCAGCATGTGAGGTTTTATTGTTTATATTTTTTCCATTTTCCCCCAAGGTCCATGCCTTTGCTGTTCTGAATAATATTACCTGCTGAGAGATACGATACTTTGCTGACATTGATTGCCAGTTGTGGAAGGATTTTGACGTAGGGCTTGTGACAGTCATGGTAACACTGCAGACCAGTAGGAAATCTGGAAGTCAGATTTTGCCTGATAAGAGTAGCGTTGTGGGTGACCGTGTTATTCCAACGGGCAGACAGAGTGAAGGGAATCTGCAAGCCAAAGCCCATGATGCACATACCTGCCAGCCCACTTGCTAGATGATAGGCAGAAAGTGCAGGTAGGAAATAGGATGTGCTCTGGACTTGGCTTGGCGATGGTGGTGGCTTTATGGATGTTATAAGATGTGACACAATTGGAGCACAGCAAGGGAAGTGAACAGTGAGAACCAAGTGCGGATGCTGGATGGATGCAGGCAAGTTTTCAGAAAGATGTGCTGCCCATCCGGGGACTGCAGGGAAGAAGGAACAATAAGGACTGAGTCCAGGTGGATCTCACTATTGTCCTAGAGATATGGTCTGGTGTCTTTTCCAATTTGCATGTCCAATGGACAGAAAATGCTACATGTGGGTTGCAGAGTTATACAGGACCCAAAACCTACACAACAAGATCCTTGAAGTCTAAACAGAAGAAACTAGTACATGATAGCTATTGGGGCCACGCTGGCCTGGCCTTATTGGGAAAGGCCATTGAGAAGCCACTCAAAGCCAGAGCTGGTGGCTCATGCCTGTAATCCTAGCTACTACAGAGGGTGAGATCTGAGGGTCATAGTACGAAGCCCGCCCAAGCAGAAAAGGCTATGAAATTCTTATCTCCAATTAACCTTTTAAAAGCTGAAAATAGATCTGTGTGGCTCAAGTGGTAGAATGCTGGCCTTGAGCAAAAAAGCTAAGAGACAGCACCAAGGCCTTGAGTTCAAGTCCCTGCATACACACAAAAAAAGGAAAAATCTCAGGAACGTTTCAGTCTTTCCCTGATGAGGAGCAGCAGCTGGAGTTTAAAACAATCCCCATAGCCAAATGCAAACCGAAAAGTATGGTTTATGAGCATGTCATCTTTGTTCTGTACATTCGTCAATTTGGCAGTCTGAGAAGGATTCAGAACCTGAGACATTCACAACATTTTATATGATAACGTTCACCAGACATTTGGGAATAAAAATTCCTAGCAAATGAGTTGAGTTTACTCTTGGTAAGAAGAGGGTATTTCATGAATTTTAGAAGATTTGAGGAAAAAAATTCAATACATTTTATCTTTTTTATCTGTGCCCTTTTATAAAACAATGGCTAGGATTTGGGGGGGATGGGATTTCCAAAAGAAAAAGAACAAAGGAGTGGGAAGAGGAAGACAAAGGAGAAGGAGGAAGTGGAGGAAGAGGAAGAGGAAGACAATGACAACAACTCAAGCACTGGTGGTTTATGACTGTATTTCTAGCTACTCAGGAGTCTGAGATCTGAGGCTCACAATTCAAAGCTATCCTAGTCAGGAAAGTCCATGGGGCTCTTATCTCCAGCTAACTACCAAATAAACAAAAGTAGAGATATGGCTCAAGTGGTAGAGCACCAGTTTTGAAGGAAAAATAACTAAAGGACAGTGCCCAGACCCTGAGTTCAAGCTCCAAGTAGTAGCACAAAAAAATAAAAAAGAGAGAAAGGGAAAGATGTAAGGAAGGAAAGAAGGAAGGAAGGAAGGAAGGAAGGGATTTCAAAACTGTTTATGGAAAGTTTATGGTACCTTCACCAACACCTGAAAATCTAAATGCTTTATAAACACCAGCACCTAGTGTTTATAAAACCCATGATGAGTAGCTACCAAAAGACACTGGACTTCAGTCGAATTTTGCTATTTACATCATAACCTGTCCAGGAAGAACACTATATACCACTTTATCTGGACCCTTGTGTTTGGAAATGTGGATGGTAGTGAACAAGAATGCATTCTTCTCTATTTACCTTTGCTATGACCAAGTAGAACTTGATAATGACAAGTATATTTTGTTTGTAAACTTGCTTTTGTAATTTGTAGAAAATCAAACTTTCAGATCTACTAAGGCTCATTTGAATTACACTAAGCAAAGTACAGATTGTTTTGAAAAGTCACTAACATGTCTTGTCTAGTAATACATGGTCACAGTCTATTCTAGACAAATATGAACACACTGCAAACTATTTGGACAACATTACATGTTGTGGAAGTGGAGCTATGGCTCAAGGTGGTAGAGCACTAAACTTGAGCACATAAGCTCAGGGACAGTGCACAGGCCCTAAGTTCAAGGCCCAGGACTGACAATTAGTAAATAAAACAAATTGCATGTTTTAAGTCTTATAGTTTGGTTTCCAAGATGCAACAAGTCTATCCGTTTTAATGACAAACAAATTGTCACCCCAGTCTCTTAGCTCCTTTCTTCCTCAGTTTACCATGATTTCACCCCCACTGTTCTGTGTATGAGCATGCATGCCACAGGTGGCTGAGCTGTGGCTGCATAACTGAAGGAATATGTCAGGAAGTTCACTTTTCAAGCAAGTCCTACCTGCATCAACCAGTAGCACAGCCTCTCAGCGTTGAGCCATCCAACCAGAGACTTCTGTGTGACTTTACCTACTCTAATGTCCCCATCTTTAAAAATTAACCTTTCCTGCTTAATACATTTGCCTCTTCTCCTATAATCTAAGATAGTAGTTTCTCCATCGTACAGAACAACTGCAGCTGAAAAGTTTATATACATGTTTTGGAACTCAATGTAGCAGGAATGACAATTGATAGGATAAAAATTTGCATTACGGCCAGGCATTGGTGGCTCATGCCTGTAATCCTAGCTACCCAGGAGGCTGAGATCTGAGGATCGTGGTTCAAAGCCAGCCCAGGCAGGAAAGTCTTCGAGACTCTGATCTCCTGTAAGCCACTCAGAAAATCGGAAGTGGCACAGTGGCTCAAGTGGTAGAGTGCTCAACTTGAGCTGAAGAGCTAAGGGTTAACGCTCAGGTTCAGAGTTCAAGCTCCATGACTGACAAAAAAAAAAATGCACTATGTTTTTGGCTGTTTTCAAGCCATCAAACTCATCCCTCTCTAAGCAAGCCAATTAACAATTGCTCTGTTTGATGAGGTGCATGATGTTGACTTTATCTATGAGATTCGGGCAATCAAGAACAAAATGAAGAGATTCAGAGCCAGGATTACAGTAGGATAATTAAGCCACTGACCCAAGAAACAAGTTTAACAGTATCTCCCCAAACTATGTTTTCCCATTAACCCAATGTTTTATTAATCATTACATGGACAGGGTCTGTGGTCAAATGAGATTGGCAAAATTTCACTGCTTTTTCAGTGCTAATTCAGTGGTTATTTGGTCCAAGTATTTAAGTTAGAAGTTTAGTGGGCACATAACTCTGACAGTCACAACAATGTGACGCCCAGAGGGAAAACCAGGTATGTAAGTATTCGCATGTGCATGTATATCTTGAGAAATGGAAGCCCACTGGTTTCTCAGCCTATGCCAGAGTAAGAACTTGAAGATTGAAGGTGGTAGTGGTTGTACCATTCATAGAAATTGGTAGCCCTTTTTGAAGGTAAGGGGAAAGCAACAAATCCCTCCCCCCCTCAATGTGTTGCATGGAAATACTCAAATTATTTACAAACACATCCTCAGAAAAAGCTGAACAAAGAATACATGTAATACATCCACCGGTGGGAGGGGGCATTGCTTTTGTATAGATATGGGTTATTGTAATGCGGCTGAAATCTTGCACCAACCCTGCTTCTCATAACTTCTCATAACTCCAGAAAATGTTGAGTTTCTGCCTCCAAGAGATCAAGACTGAGCACATTCTAGCTTGCTCCCAACTCTTCTACAGAAGAGTTGAGTTGAGATCCTTGAAGGTCACAGGTCTCTCTGAGTGAGGACCTTCAGTTAAAGACAACTTTTCTGTTGCTACAAATTGATGCCTTTTTTCTTGCCCACATGAAGCTCAACAATGGCAAATTCAGAGCTGACCAATTGTTTTAAGCAATAATATGTTCCTTTAAATAATGCTGTCATTTAAATTCATACTGTATCTTTCATGGTATTACAATCCTGCTTTCTTTTTGCCTTCTTTATTGCAGTTACATATGGGGCTGATGGCTTTAGGGATTTTCATGCAATAATTTCCCAAACTTTCTCTCGTAAGTATATACTTTGCTTCTAGAAAGCAGACACATGTATTCATTTCATACTTAGTTACCATCGTATAGATACTGTGCATTGCATGTTCTGACATCAACTCCATTCTTCACATTTGAAAAAGGAAAAAAATGAGATAAATTAAATGTTCTTTAAATACCTACCATTAGGAACATCAGTTACCCCCAGAAAGAAGTAAAGCTTGGAGGGTTTGGAGATGTGCTAAGAAGAATGAGAGTGGGGTGACAGTGAGAAGAGGGGTGAGAATAAAGCCAATCAGATCTGACCTGTGTGGTGATTGATGTTGGCCTTGTCTCCTTTGTGATACATACGCTCTGTCACCATCAAACAACCCAACATGTTCTCAAGATGATTTTGACAGTTTTATAGGTCAGGAGAAAAAGTTGCACTCCTCTCCTTTTGTGATGGAGTATTCGTTTCAGATTGAAGGAAACTTCCCCCGGCTTCCAGGCCCCTCTGTAGCCAGGCCTTGCTACAAGAACCAGTGAACTATTGGCCAGCCACGTGGGCAGGGCCTTCTCTGCTCCTAGCTGTTCACCCAGAAGCAAATGTCAATTTCATTTTTGTGTTTTTTTTCTTTTTTAAGTACTGACAGCTTATAAGCCATAAATATATTTTGGGCAACCACTTTAACATAGTATTTTTTAAACAGGGAATGCCATTTTTAAAATGTACAGAGAAGTATTAAGTGTTACAAGTTGGTTACCATTCTTAGAATTTTAATCCTCAGAGCCTGTTTTAGTTAGTAAATTCTCTTGTTTTTTGAAGCCATCCCAGAAAAAGAAGTTGTGCTTATTATTGTTGGGTTTTGTTTTGTGTTGTTTTTTTTTTTTCAGTTTTGTTTTTGTGGGGCTGGTGTTGAGCCAAAGGCAAGTGCTCTACCACTAAGCCATATATTCATTCCAGCTTTTAAAAATTGTAATGATTATGAATATAAGCTAAATATGAGATAACAATAACAGATAAAGACAGATTTCTGATATCATGGTTATCAAAGACAATTTAGTTTTTAAAGGATTTAGCAGATGGGTCTAAGTTTACTTTTTCTCACAGCTACATTGATGGCTGTTCTAGGATATTGAAGTCTATAGAAAATTTTCTCTTGTTAATATTCCTTTGATTCAAATTTAAAATAATAATTTGATATTTATCTCTATGATATGTGTGTCTATGCATATGTACATGTCTGTGCATGTGAGTATTTGTATGTCTTCATATAACATCTAAAACAAGATGTTCAGATGGGGAATATATGAATTTTGATATGACAGGTAACATTGTTGACTTAAGTCAAATGCACTAAAAAAGAGTGTACGTTCTAAGACATCTTCCCATGAAGTCTGAGGGAGGTTTAAGTTTAATCCTGTTGTAACATTTAAACAGAATTTTTGGTAAGACCTTTACAACACAAAAAATACTGCATGTAGACATGTATGATAAATGATACTGGGAACTTTTCTGAGACATAATGCGCATTTGGACAGACATCTGGTCTATATTTTTATACATACGGGTTCATAAAGTCTTATTATCTCCCTTTCATTCTCCCTATACCTCAATACCTTCAAATTGTAAATGTCTTCCTCCCACATATGGCTGTCTGTTACAAACACCCTCCGCCCCCCCCCACCCCCCCCACCCCCCCCACCCCCACCCAACAGCAACCAAACTGTTCTTGGTCTATATCACCACCTTGTGGCCATGGTAGAAAAATTGTTCTTTATGCCTTGAACACTTCTCAAAATTAAAATCAAATACAACTCTGTGACTTCCTCTCTCATCTTTATTCCAATTTATGACCCTTGATACCTACAGAAAATGCATATATACTACTTTCAATGGATACTTTTTATACTTACCCACTTTTCTGGCTTTTCCGTGTTTTCTGTCTGCCTGATTTCATTCCATTAAAAGGCCTAAGACATCCAGTAATAGTATTGCTAATACTGGACAAGATAGGCACCCTATATTTTAAATAGTAGCATATGGTAATGCATTGTTTTATTAATTTTTAGTTGGCTTTTTTATTGTCAAGGTGATGTATAGAGGGGTTACAGTTACATAAGTAAGGTAATATGTACATTTCTTGTCAAACTTGTTATCCCTTCCCTCATTTTTCTCCTCCTTTCCCTCCCCCTAACCCTCCCCCAAGTTGTACAGATCATTTCCAACATATTGTTTTGTTCCATTGGTTCCCCCCCATTGTCCTTTGCTTCACCATTCTGTTGTTCCCCTTCTCTGCCCTAATTCAAATAAATGTATCACATATACAAAAATGCTTAAAATTTGCCAAGTGCCAGTGGCTCATGCCTGTAAGTAATCCTAGCTACTCAGGAGGCTGAGATCTAAGGATCACGGTTCAAAGCCAGTGGGCAGGAAAGTCCATGAAACCCTTATCTGTAATTAACCACCAGAAAACCAGAAATGGCACTGTGTCTGAAGTGGTAGAGCACTACCCTTGAGCTGAAGAGCTGAGGGACAGCGCCCAGACCCAGAGTTTCACAAATCTCTTTTAGATGCCACACAAACACATGCATATATATATATATATATATATATATATATATATATATATATATATATATATTTAAGTAAATATCCTCATCTCATTTTTTTGGTGGTACTGGGGACTGAACTCAGAGCCTTGTCTTACAATCAGGCAGTCTGCCACTTGAGCCAGGCCTTCAGCCCTTTTTGACTTTTGCTGTTTTCAAGACAGTGTCTCCTTATGACTGAGCCAGCATGGACTGCCAAACTCCTACTTGTGCTTTCCTGAGCCACTGAGGATGACAGGCACATGTCACCATGCACAGCCATTGGTTGAGATGGAATCTAATGGACTCTTATTCCTGTACTGGCCTTGAACTAAAATACCCCAATCTCTGCTTCCCAAGTAGCTAGGATCACAGGCTTGAGCTTCCACATCTAGCTTCCATCTCAAATTATTATTTAGTTAACCTCAGTAATGTTGCTTAAATACTTTTATTCTAATTACTTTAATTACTAGTCATTACAATTTTTCATGTAAAATATGGAGTACTTCAAGTCTACATAGCTTTAAACCATAGTAGGATGATAATTGTAGAATATTTTCATGGATAAATACATATTGTGTACCAAAAAATATACTTTTCTAGTAAATACAATGACACATTCTAGAAAGGAAATGAAAACGTAGAGGAAACATAACCCATTTGCAAGGTGGAGACTGCCAGTGTACATTACACCTATGCATTAAAAACATTCAATTATTCACAAGTGCCTATAATGCTTGGCAGCTCTAGGCATCTTGGCTTCTGTTGATCTCACAGTTCCTTGGAGTCTCCAGATTCTTCAATTCTAAACCTATCTAGATGCTTAATGCCATGTTCCATTTAGAACAAGGATTTGTTTCAAGACCGTGGGGTTAATAATTACATTGAAGGCCTGTATGTGACGGTAAGATTTTAAGTATTCTTCCTTTTAAATGGAAAGCAACCTCCCTTAATACAAGCCATATTTTTTGAATAATAAAATTGGCCCCTGTCCATTATTTCTCAGTCCGTGGAAGAGCTCAGAGCAGGCCTGACTGTGAGCCTTCTGGGGAAAGAAACTCACAAGTGTGCATTTCATGTTCTATATTTAATCAGTTTGATTCAGACCTTACTGAGTTCATCATTGTTCTGAGTAATGGAGTAAAGATGGGACTTGCAAAATGTTCATAGGTGAATTCCTTATATGAAAGAATTATATTCCTACTGCCCATCACATCCATGTGTGCAAGGGATCCCTTACATATGCATAGATACATAGTCTTAAATCCACCCATCTTACATTCATGTGTACCTGAGATTGTATTTGGGGGTCCACATAGGTCTTGGGGTCATTTGTGAGAGACTCCCTTCTCCCATGCCTTTTGAACCTGTTTTTCTTTTTGTTCCTGTCATAGCTATTAGCAAAATAGTCAGGTGGGTTAATAACACCAGAGTCCTGGCTTCAGCTACCCCAAATCAAAAGAGGCATTGACACAAGGTCTTCTGGCTCTAAGGATGTCTGCGGTATTTAAAGCAACATCCATTGCATGTTTCCCCCTGGTGCTTCCTCATCTGCTTCCTTCCTGGCACTGGGCTTTCCTTCCTCATGTGAGCAGCCTGCCCCTGTCATGGCAGGACTTCTCCTCCTGATGCCAGAAGCCTGGGTGTCACTGACGATGGTCCCTGCTGTCCTATTCTTCTTCAGGAGCACCTACACAGGCCACAGCAAAGCACCCCAGAGCACCACAGAGAACAGCACAAATACACATTATTCCTATTACTGTAGAAGTGCATGGTCACTTCGGGCAGGTGTGTCATCTGTCCACGTGTGACCAGAATGAATTCTCTTTAACCAGTTGCCACCAAAGGGAATGAAAGACAGCCAGGTCAGGAACATGCTCTGCATGTTCTGCATGTTCTTGCTCTGCATGGGGCTCTTTCCCCAGCCTCAGTAGTACCTAGCTTACATATGTCAGGACAGCTCTGTACTCTAGCTCTGATGAGAGAAGAAATTGCCACAGCAGGTGCAATTTACTCCATTGGGTTCTAGAATATTCCAGTCTCACTTTTTTTTAAAGGAGGCTAATTAAACACAAGCCTAGACAAAGGAATGCACAGATCATTGTAGATTTATCCTGTTGACAGAGCAGTATGTTTTCCATGGGCGTGACAAATTCTGGCAACTGGGTAATATATAAAGAATAGAGAATTATTTAGCTCGTGGTTCTGGAGGCTAAGAAGTCTATGAGCATGGCGCTGGCCATCTAGTAAGGGCCTTTGAGCCATAGCATACAATGGCAGAAGCCATCATGTGGCCAGACAGAGCAAGTGTGCTAGCTCAGAATGCTTCTTTTTCTTATGCTTTTCATGAGTCTGCTTTTCATTACATCAATAAAATATCATAGGCAAGATAACTTATAATGAGAAAAGGTTTACTTTCCATGAATTATGGCTCTGGAGGTTCCATTCCAAGATCAGGCAGCCCCATTGCTTTGGGCCTCTGGGAGGACATCAGACGATAATGATGGGGAGCACATGTCAATGCAGTCTGCCCGTATCATATCTTAGAAAGCAGCTTAAGCAGGGAGACAGGTCCCACAGTCCCTCCCTTCCAAGGGCATGCTCTAAGGACTCAGACACACACACACACACACACACACACACACACACACACACATGTCCACAAGGCCCTGCTGATCACAGGTTCCACCCTCTGCCTCCATTTCACCACTCCTGGGACCAAGCCTTTAGCACATGGGAATTCAGAGGACAAGCACCAAACCATTGCAAGGTTGATTGTGCAGTAAGGGCCTCGTATATTAGCTTCTACCCAGGAAGATGCGCAGAATACAGCTGAGAAGACTGATACTGACAGCCTCAGTAATAATTGAGCACCATGACCTGAATGGCAGACCAGCCTCCTTTGCCTGCCCTGTCTCCTTTACTCACCTGTCAGTAGGATTCAGCCTCTTGTTGAGCAGCTAAGATGGGCTAGCAGGAGGATATTGAGATGCAAGGAGTTCTGAGTCGCTGGTCTTCAGAACCTCATAGGGACCAGCACTTGAAGAATCTCTGCACTGGGCTTCTCAGGGACTAATCGATCTGATGGAAAGGGACAGCACTCTTCAGCCTTGAATTAAATCCAAACTTTGGCAGTCTCAAAGTTTTCTGTAGAAGCTCCTACCCATGTTTTAATTTACTCATGTTGTTTTCTTATTTGTAAGTCTTTCCTTCCCACCCAAAGGACTAGTTTTGCCACCTGCTTAGTATTTGACCTTAGCAAGTGATCTGCCCATTCTGTGCCCCAGTATTAATAATGATACTTCCTGTATAGAATTCTATGGGGATTAAATAGAGTGCACCTGAAGTGTTGTGTGCATGATACAAGGTAAGTGGGATACCAATAGGGGATTAGGCAGAGTCTCACTCTACGAGATGGCTAGATGGTTTCCACTTGCCAAGTCCCAGTCCCCATCCGGAGCTCTTGTCCTATCTGTCAATCCACTGAATCCTCCCAGCCATCCTGCTAGGGTTAGGTTAGTGCCTATTTCTATGGATGTAGAAATCAAGGCACATAGAAGTTACATGACTGGCCTAAGACCTTGAGCTTTTAAAAAGAGAGGAGCTGAGATTCTGGACAGTTATTTTGCTGGCTGAAAGTATCTGGACTCCGGGCCTCAAAATCAAGAGGAATTTGGTGAGTAAAATAAACCTGAAGGGTTGTGAACTAGAAGGATTATTTGCAGAGGTTTTTCTCAGTCTTGAGTCTGAAGATTCAATCAAACAGAGGGCTGGCTCACCTCAACAGAGCTGGAAGAACCCAGAATCTGAAAGTCTGATATGTATTTCCCAAGCTGTTTGCCAGGAACAAAACTTTGAGGAGAGTTGATTGAAAATATTGATTTAAAAATGTAGTCTTGTGCCTGATATAGTGATGCAGACCTGTAATCTCAGCTCTTGGATGCAGAGGCAGGCAGATTATGAGTTTGAGGCCAAGCTAGGTGATAAGACCTTACCTGAAAAAGAAAAAAAGGAGGAAGAGAAAAAGTGTGTTCTTGTTATTCATCTCACTGATTATTTTACTCTTTATTCAGCCCTGCTCTTATGAGTACATAAAAATAATAGTTTCAAGACTAACTGCAATTATTCCCTGTCACTTTAAGACTAGGTGTATTGATGTACTAGCAGTGTTAGAAATGAAGCAAAATGGATCATCTCATGTTTTCTTTAGGAAGAAAGTGCCTCTTGGGCACAGGTGGCTCATACCTGTAATCCTAGCTACTCAGGAGTCTGAGATTTGAGGATCACAGTTCAAAGCCAGCCCAGTCCCCACCCCACCCCCCAAAAAATCATAAGACTCATCTTTAATTAACCATCAAAAGCCAGAAGTGGGCTATAGTTCAAGTGGTAGGGCACCACCTTGAATGAAAAAGTTAAATGATAACGCAAGGCTATGAATTCAAACCCCAGTACTGACACACACACAAAAAAAATAGAGTATGTCAATGATGTAATTACTTCACGTGTGACTTAAGAAGCAGTTATTGTTTTTCTTACTCCTGACAGCTCTAGCACCTAAGGAAGACGCTCCACTGACCCATGTACATTATTTTCTGAGAAATTCTCCCTGGTTTCTTGTATTGATAAATATCCCTGCCCACAGTTTATGGAGGAGATGTAAAAGGGGTGTCTTGAGTCTAGGACAGAGTATTGATTTACAACACTGTGAGATAAAAGGGTAATTGAATGATTATGTACCTGAGAAACAGAAATCCAAAAGGGAATCCAACAGAGACTTTGTCCTCACACAAAACAAGGCAAGGTAGCATTAATGCATAAGAGGGGAGGGATGTTTCAGGCTTGTTAACCACTGTGTGTTCATATCCTAGCAAGGTCAACTGTGTGATTAAGTACCTTCCAGTGCTAGGTGCTCCTATGACAAAGAACACATAGGATTCAATCCCCGTTGAAGGCTGTAGATCTGGTGACTTTAACCTGCCTAAATGAAGGCCTGACCCTCAAGGACAAACATTTATATATAATCCTTCCAAATATTTCCAGACAGTTCGTCATTAGGATCTCTGGAGAGAGCTGCAGGTTCCCCCTGTATCCCCGATGCATCCTCTGGCTGCCATTCCCATGCTCCCATGCGACTCAGGCTGCCCTCCCCTCCCCCTGGCCCCACTCAGGACATCAGTGTTCTCTGTGTCTATTAGACGGCCTTTTGCTGTGTTGCTCTGTTGTGTTTTGCGTGTTATGTTTTTTTTTCTTTCTTTCTTTTTTTTGCAATGACACTGAGTGGCCTCCTGTATTGTCTCTTTCAGCCAGTAATATTAAAGTAGAGGCTCAGAGTGATGAAGAGAATAGGCGTGCCTGTGAAATGAATGGGGAAGAATGTGCAGAGGATTTACGAATGCTTGATGCCTCGGGAGAGAAAATGAATGGCTCTCACAGGGACCAAGGCAGCTCGGCTTTGTCGGGACTTGGAGGCATTCGACTTCCTAATGGAAAACTAAAGTGTGATATCTGTGGGATCATTTGCATCGGGCCCAATGTGCTCATGGTTCACAAAAGAAGCCACACTGGTAAGGCCTGGCATAGTTCTTCCTTCAGGGGCCTGAGAAGGTCTTGTGGATGTTGAAGGAGTTAAATGTACTGTTGGTGTAGAGCATTTGGAGCTTGTTTCAACAAGGGACGGGCCCTGCACCACTGCAAGACGCTGCCTCCAGCTTGTACAGAGGCATAGAATTCTTTCTTTGGAACAATATTTAAAAATCATTTCTCAGTTTGCGTATATGTAACAGTGTAATCAAAAAAGGTGAAGTTGCTAGGTGCTGATGACTCATACCTTAACCTGAGCTACTCAGGAGGCTGAGAGCTGAGGATCAAGGTTCAAAGCCAGCCCCAGCCAGAAAGTCCATTAGAGTCTTATTTCCAATTAGCCACCAAAAAAAAAAGCCAGAAATGCAGAAATGGAACTGTGGCTTCATTTCCATGTGATAGAGCACTATCCTTGAGCACAAAGCTTAGAGACAGTGCCCAGGCCCTGCGTTCAAACCTCAAGACAGGCACACACACACACACACACACACACACACACACACACACATACACACATATGAGTGTAATATTCTGCCAGGTTCTGGTGACTCAGGCTTATAATCCTAGCTACTCAGCAGGTTGAGATCTAAGGACCATGGTTTGAAGTCAGCCCAGTCAGAAAAGTCCATGAGACTTTTTATATAATAATAATAATAATAATAATAATAATATGTTTAAGTAGTTGTACATAAAAGTTGCCATTTAACAAAGCAGTTTATGACTATCATATATCTTATATCTAATTAACCAGTAAAAAGCCAGAAATGGAGCTCAAATGGTAGCGCTCCCAGCTTAAGTGAATAAAGCTAAAGGAAAGTGTCATGGTTCTGTGTTCAAGCCCCACTACCAACACACACACACACACACACACACACACACACACAAGAATATAATATTCTGTGTCCTACAATGAAGAAACACAAGCTGTCTAATGTCCAAGATCTATGCCCTAGCTCATAAGACGCCCTATCTCTGGGGTTGTGGGAAGCCAAACAAAGCTTCAATAATTTCATTCACCCTGCACCTGTGGTTTTCATAGTAAATCCTGTGGATTGAACAGTGAGATACATGCCCCAAAGAAATAAGTATCCCTACCACCACCAAGACCAGTAAAGCATTGTAGAAGCAAAGCATCAATGTCATTCATTCACTTTTAAGTGTGCACATGGGGTTTCCCACTGAGTAGAAACTTTTCTTTCCATAGGAAGCTTCCTGAAATGTGGGTAAAACACAATAAATGCACCAACTCTAGTAGTCACAGAAAGGTTAGATATAACACAGACACCATGAGCCCCGCCTGCCAGTGAGCGGGATCCTTTGGCATTTCAAAATTGGCATCTGCTACTTCAAAATCCAGGAGGATAAAAAGGGAGCCACATTGGAGACAATGAGTTTTGTAAGATCTCAGGAAGGTTAGAAAGATGTCTTGAGAATTATAGTTTCTAGTGCTTCTTCCATGGGGCCAAACACACATTTATAAAAATTAAAACAAAAATTCAGAAAAAGCATTCAGCAAAACTACTTATTAGGAAATGTAAGTATCTGTGGGGTTGTAATTCTATATAAATAAAGCAGTTTCCAAAATAAAGCAGTTTCTAAAATAATGTAATATGTAATATATTATATATAATACATATCACAAAGGGCCATGGTTATATATTGAAGATCACAGTTCAAAGTCAGCTCAGGCAGGAAAGTCCATGAGACTCTTCTCTCAAATTAACCAACAAAAAATCCAGAAGTGGGAATGTGACTCAAGTAGTAGAGCCCCAACCTTGAGAGAAAAAGCTAAGGGATAGTGCCAGGATCCTGAGTTCAAGCCCAGCTACTGGGATATGCCCCCCTCCACACACATACACCACATATGACATTCATGCTTGCTTAAAAATAGGGCTTTAAAAATCCTGCATTTTAGAATAGGCCATTCTGCTTTTCAGAATGGACTTCTTAATCTTCAAATTATCCAGTCATATCCAGGTCATAAATATATACAAGAGAGTAGTCTCACTGTCCCCTTTTATAATGGGATAAAAATCCACGGGAAGGAGATAAACAGTAATATGGCACACTCAGACCTATGATAATACATTCCTAATGTGGAATAAGCTCACAAATGGATTACTTTCCTGCTAATTCATGTAAAGTTTGACTCTGCAGTGGAAATTCTCTTAAATAAATATTTGATAAGTGAATCCAATTCTGGCACACTAAATTGCCAAAACATAACAACTGCTGCCCTAATAAAAAGAATAATTACCTTTAATGAATAAACCTGCCAAGTATAGATATGCAAATGGTACCTGCGGTTTGCTGAGTAAGTTCTTCCACTAATAGGGGCTAAATGTCACATCTACCCTGATACCCTCATTCTTTACATACAGAACATGTACTTCCAGAAAGAAAGGTTTTCTACAAACTACTCCATTTCTGGAGTAGTAGCCTGGTCATTTACTTAAAAACAAGAGACTGAACAGTTTGAACATATGAACACAGAAGGCCATAGGTAGATAGAGAACCCATTTGGCCAAACTAGATTTCAACAGCTAGACACAGAAGAAAAGTTTTCCTTTCCCTGGTTCTGGGTGGAATATGTTAAGAATATGCTTTCTGTATTGTCAGTATTTACATCACTTACAGCATCCCCCTCCAATTTGAAAAGGCCTATAAATCATATGGGATCTTGTGGAAATGCAGGCTCTGATGCATACTGGAAAGCAGGCATTTTTAACAACTCCCTTCCCCCCCACACACACACCGGACACAGGGATGCCAGGACAGGGGCCATGGAGCCCACTTAGATTCTGGGGACCTACCATCCTGAGCAGACCATTTAGATGGCTGTTCACTTAAGAGCTTAGATAGGGTGAGATAAAGCTGGCACATGCATCATGCCACTGTCCCTCTCCCAGGCCTGTGAGCCATCAGTCAAGCATAGGACTTCCCTGGTTTCTCTTGGGAAATTGAGAAGAATCGGGATCAGTTTGTTGGTTAGAGCTCTTGCATCTGCTCATATTACCACCTTGGTGAAGAGCCAGTGGTGCCATTTCCTCAATGGTCCATGGGTACCAGCCCTTCCCTGCCTGTTGGGCCTCATCCTTGTGACTATGCTGTCCCGGCCCTCATCTCAGGATGTGTGAGAATCACACGCACAGGAAAGAAACATTGAAGGGAACCCACCATGCAACATGTGTGCCATTTATTATTCTAAATAACAAAGACCAAGAAGATGGTCAGACCAGGAAGTCTGTGCAGACTTGTCTCTCAGGTCAGATCAGGCCCTGACCAGAGCATCCTTTGTGGTAATGCCACCTGGCACAGTGTGGCTATCCAGCATGGTGTGACCAGGCCCATTCTTTTCAGCTCCAACATGTTTTGTTAATTCTCCTTTTTGGCTAGGCTCTCAGAAATTCTAAGATTTTCTGTTTTCCCTCTACAGTGGAAAACATGTAGAGTTGATAAGATGAAAAACTGTTTGGGATCTGTGATATCAAATTCTCTGTCCCAGTAAAATGAAAGGGAATACAAGCTTGGGCAACATTGAACTTAGCCAAACTAACAAGTTGTTGATGTGCAGAAGGCAGGCCGTTTCCAGTAGCAACAGAAAGAATACACAGACCTGGCTTCAGGGACATGCCCCCTTGCATACAACACTCCCTTAAGTGGAACACTGTGTGTTATCATCTTTGAAAATGCTGTCCTCCAGACCTCCTGGCCCTTGGGCCCTGCACAAGAAATCAGAAACAAATAGATTTCCAATGAAGCTTGGCCTTGTGGTGAAGATTAAGGTTCCAGGCACAACAGAATCCCAGAGGATCAGTGACTCCAAGTTTAAGCGAGTTCTCCCTCTTCTTTGCTTCCTGCAGAAGAGTAGCAAGCCTGTTTGACCTTTGTTCACTCTGCTTCCAACTGATAGGGATGCTCACTCTACTTGCAGCCAATCAGAGTGAGGGGAGGCATGGCACTTCAGTCTCTCCTCAGCACAGAAAGGAGAGCACTGGATTTTGCTCATAGGCTTAGGGTCATGTCTTAAACACACTTGAGTCACCATGAGTTTCCCCCACATCTTCACTGTGGGAATTTTCCTGTCTCTACCACTCAGCTGACAGGCCCACCCTGTACAGATGAGAACTGAAATTCGAATTCCTCCTCTCTGGGTCTCTTTGTACACACGGTTCACATTATTTTTATTTTTCCTTTGTTCAGTTAAACACACACTTCATGAACACTTGTAATAAAGGCTCAGAAATGTTCCTAATAGGAATTAAGTGACTGCCCTCCTCCTCCCCCGCCTCCCCCGAAGTAGCCCTCAGGGACTACTTGGCTACCGGCCCTTTTCAAATCTCTCCATCCAACACCATTCTGGAACTCAGAGGGTTGGCTATAGTTAATATGTTGGTTGGTCTTACCACAGCCTGCCAATGTGCTCAACTTTATGTAGCCCCTTTTTCTCTACTCAGCCCATATCCAATCTACAAATTAGGATTTGGGGAAGCACTGAGTACAAGCTATTTAGTATCAAGACCTCTTCAGATGGCCCATGATTGAATATCATAATAAATTAGTTTCATTTTTCTATCTGCCAGCTGGAAAAGTGAGAATAATCAAGAAGTCCAGGTAACAATATACACTTTAAGATTTAGTCAGGTTGTTTTTGTCTATGTATGTGTGCCAGTACTAGGCTTTGAACTCAGGGCCTGGGCATTGTCCCTTAGCTTGTTTGCTCAAAGCTAGTGCTCTACTACTTGAGCCATACCTCCACTTCTGGCATTTGGGTGATGAATTGGAGGTAAGATTCTCATGAATTTTCCTGCCTAAACTGGGATTGAACCAGATCTTCACATCTGTTTCCTAAAGAGTTATGATTACAGGGATGAGCTACCAATGCCCAGCAAGGGTGTGGATTCATACCAAGTTATTAATATAATAATACCTCAGTTATTGATAAGTGTGCTCTCTTCCCTCCTGCTCAGGAAAATAATCATATAGGTGTTTTGACCTTCTTTATTCCTAAGAAAATTATTCCCAGGACATGTATTTGCATAGGATCTCTACACCAAGAATTATGACCACCTAGCACTGTTCTGCTTTGACAAAGAAAGCATTTGTTTATCAACAGAGCTCTAATATCCATTTAAACGTGAGAGACATCACTCCTTTCAGTAGAAGTTCAAGGAAATGTTCGCCAAGTTAGAATCAAAGAATCTGTTTCTACCCATCAAGACTACCCATATTCCTTTTCTGATGACTTTTTTCTGGGTTGCAAGCACACACTCTACCACATGCAAGCTCTTTCCATCATAGATTCAGTAGTACACCTCAGAGAATTACTCAACAATGATGACATTGCCTCTGATAGAAGAGCTATGCTTGAAAGAGAACTTGTCTTCTACAGAAATAGACAAACAAAAGTTGACTGGACATAGAAGTTATACAGAAGGAAAAGGGCAAAAAAGGTCCATGGGACTCTTATTTTGATGCCCTGCTATAGGGAAATTTTGGAAGTTTCCTGTGGATGATGGGGCCTCGTTGCCCTGTTTCTAAACTCCTTATTCTATTCAATCTTTCTCCATCTCACTCTCACCCTTACACTTTCTCTATCTGTCTCTCTCCTGATTTGCCTGCTTAGGGACAGACAGGTAATGGAGAAGAAATTGAAAGGGAAAATACAGGGAAAATGTAAATGAAAAGAAGTTATTATAACTGTTATAATGAAGTGCCTTTCATTTAAATATAAGAATGTAACGCTGAAATGAACTTGTGATCCTGAAATGCATTTTTAATGAGTTTCCCTTTTATTTTGCTGCTTCAGTGGCATATTTTAAAGACCCTTTGAAAAAAGCCACATTAAAAAAAACCCCACCAAATGCCACAACACGCAAAATTGGATATTGGTTTATTCCAAAACTGCTGATCAGGAAGAGTGGCTCTTCATCACAAAATGTTGCAGTCACTTTATTTAAATGAGTTTGAATTTGCATTGTGATGTGCCATTCTGATTTAGGGAAAAAAAATTAGATTTTCAGATCAAATTGACCCAGCCAGTGAAGCGTTAAGGAGCTGGCAGGTTTAGTCTGAAAGCCTCATGTTCTATCAAACCTGCAGCCGGTGGAAGTCACCGGGCCCGTGGGAAACAACTTTCTTGCAGGCCACAGTCTTCTTATGCCCAGGCTGAGTTTTGTTCTCACGGCTGGCTCTCCTCTCCTTGCCCCAGGAGAACGGCCTTTCCAGTGCAATCAGTGTGGGGCCTCCTTCACCCAGAAAGGCAACCTGCTACGGCATATCAAGCTGCATTCCGGGGAGAAGCCATTCAAGTGTCACCTCTGCAACTATGCCTGCCGCCGGAGGGACGCCCTAACAGGCCACCTCAGGACACACTCTGGTAGGTTTCCTGGGCAGTCGGGATGCCCAGTCCGGGCACAGGACCACCCACTTTGGGAGTACAGGGGCCCCAGGCCAGTTCATCAACCCAGTTTACCTCCCTCTGTGTAGCCTCCTTGGTACTGACCCCTACCTAGCCTTCTACTTTCCCACTGAACCAAAGGAAATACACACACATACACAGACTCAACTACATGAAGAAAGCCTCCATTTCTAGTAAAGTTTCAGAAGAGGCCTCTTCACTCCACAGTGCCAGGTAAGTGGGTTTATGTCGAGGATTCTGCCCACCATACTGTCTCCCCATTGTACTACACGTGCCCCAGAATTTGCAAACACATTTCACTAAGTTCATGGTTAACCCACACAGGCATGCCCACTGTCTTATAAGGAATGGTTTTTAAATAGCAATGATGGGTAGTTGTCTTCACAAAGGTGACCCAGAGGTGGTTCACCATACAGTTCTGGCAGTCCAGGATATGCTGCTTCAGCCTGGAATGCCTCTTAGCCAAATACCACTCAAAGCTTGGTGAGAAAAGCCAGTCTGAAACTGTCAGCAGAATGTTGGTGGCAGCATTTCCATTAAAATGCTGCTCATGTCTGTAATTCTTGCTACTCAGGAAGCTGAGATCTGAGTATCAGTGAGCTTTAAAGCCAGTTTGGGTGGCAAAAGTCCGTCAGACTCTTATCTTCAATGTACCATGAAAAATGCTAGAAATTAAGCTGTGGTTTCAAGTTGGAGAGTACCAGCCTTGTGCAAACAAGCTAAAGGGATAGCACCTAGGCCCTGAGTTCAAGTCACAGTATCAGAACACACACACAAAAAAGTGCATCAGCGTGGCGCTAGTGGCTCACACCTATAATCCTAGCTACTCAGGAGGCTGAGATCTAAGGATTGCGGTTCAAAGCCAGCCCGGGCAGGAAAGTACTTGAGACTTTTTATCTCCAATAACCACCAGAAAACAGGAAGTGGTGCTGTGCACTGTATCATCAATAGTCTAGACACTCTCAGATTACTCCTATTTGTAGAATAAATCTCTCCCCCATATCGGTCCTTAAAAACTGAATTAAGTTGATGTCTCTCTTTTCTATCCTGTGAAATTAGAATATACTCGTTCAATGTTTTGTGTTTTTCTGGCTCCATGCCTTCTCATTACCCTCAAAGCATAGCACCCTTCTGCTCTCAGGATGGTCTACCAAGTGGTAAACCCTGGAAGCTCATATCTGAGCTAATGAAGAAATCTAGTATAAGACCTGGTGCAGTAGTGCTTCTATTATCTGAATGTACCCTTCACACACACACACACACACACACACACACACACACACACACGCAGACCTCTTGGAGGGAAAACAAAAACAATTATTTAGGTCCTTCAAAATGATTTCACTAGGATAAGATGAAGACTTCAGTCTTTAAGAAATCCAGGCGTAGCAACCTTCTGTTCCCCTGTGGAGTGGCCATGCCCCATATTCTATGAAAAATCAGGATCATTAACATACTTCCTCTGTCACTGGTGGCCAGAGCTGGAGACACCAACACATTTGTTACTGCAGAATTTGTGCCACTGAAGAAGATCTTAGGGGTCAGGAGGAAGAGGGGCCCTTCCCTCCTCACAGCTTGCTTGGAAGTTGTAAGCTACATTAGAGACATACTTTCCTACTGGAAGATATGCTTCCATTCATGTGCTTATAGCAAATGCATTTATTTTCCAGAGTTCAAATCAATAATTCACCAAGAAAAATGGATATCTATGTACTGTGTCCTTTATACAGGAAGCAATTTTGATCATGAATGTCACCAAAGTTATAGATTCCACAAAAAAGGACATGGAGTGGTTACTTACAGTGTATTAATTTCTTAGAATGTACTGGATAAAATCTGTGATTTTAGGCAATATTCAGCATTATTTCTCAGTTTGGAGGTATAGCACTTTCTATAAAGAAAGATGGCTTTGTTTTTCAGAGTCAAGCTTTGGACTTATTTTAATATTAGTCATCTTAAATAATGGTTTTGGTTCACCTAGGAAAAAAATTCAACCCACAAAAGCCTTAGTTAAATCAGTTACCAAACATTCCTAGTTGGATGGTTCTGTTTTCTATATGATATTTTCTAGTGTGTTAAATCAAACAGCCTGAGAAAGAAGACCTTGATTTTGGGGTGGAAGTTTATACTCCTTATATAAGCATTTGAAGAAAATTTATCTTTTAATGGTATCTTCAGTAGTCTTTCACATGGGTACGTTATTGATTCCTTACTAGTCTTCTTTTCATGAAATACCATTCAGTGACATCCAGGAAAAGCTAAACTCATTGTCTAGAACAGCACTATCCCAGTATACTAGCCACATGTCAGATGTCATATTTTAATCTTCATCATTTAAAGTTATGGGGAATGGCAACTTCACTCCGTGTGGAACTAGCCATACTTTGAACATTGAATCGTCACACGTGACTGGTGTCTACTGTGTAGAACAGCACAGAGGATGCCATGTTGGACAGATAACATAGAGAATATTTTCACCAATGCAGTCAGTTCCAGTGAGTATAGTTGATCTAGAAGCTATATCATCCTAATGTTCTTTGTGAGGATAACATGGGGTTTCCGTTGTGTCTATTTATATAAAATATATTACACATTTTCCATGTATATGGAATTACATTTTGCTTTCCTTGGTAAATGTAAATACATTTTACATTTTCCTTGAAACGTTCCATTTTGTTTCTTCATAGTATATGGTCTTACACAAAATATTTTGGTATTACATAGGAAAATATGAGTTGGCGAATGAATTTAACTAGAGCATTTTTATCTACCGTGGTTTCTTAGATACCTCAAATTATCCAGCCTAGCCTTCTAAATTGAATTCACATTGGTTGCATTAGACACAGCCCTAGTGTTGAGCCAAACCCAGCCCACAGCCTACACATGGACTCTGGAGGTTAATTTTTGCATTATCCAGCCTTCCTCAGGTTTCTCTTTATATGATAACATGCTCATGGTTCAATTTTTCTATTTAAAAGACAGGTCTCTCTCTCTCTCTCTCTCTCTCTCTCTCTCTCTCTCTCTCTCTCTGTTTGTGTGTATGTGTGTGTGTGTGTGTGTGTGTGTGTGTGTGTGTGTGTGTGTGTGTGTGTGCTGGTACTGAGGCTTCTGGGACTTGAACTCATGGTCTCATGCTGACGGTTAGCCTTTAAGTTCAAAGCTGATGCTCTATGACTTGAACCACACTTCCACCGGTGATCCTTAGATTGCAGCCTCCTGAGTAGCTAGGATTATAAGTGTGAGCCATCAGCACCGAGCTACAGTGATTAAAAGGAAAGAACTGATTTATCTGCACAGACAAATTAGGATGGAACAAGATTTATGTGAGTCCAGTGGGATAATTCAGGAGTCCCCTGGACTCCTAACCAAGTCCATGAGGCTTTTAACTCTCAAGGGTATAATTTTCTTTTAGTAATAATTGTACCACATGCATTCCCATTACATAGAAGATCAATATTTAATTGGGGTATTGAATTCAATTGTGTTTTCTGCAGTTGGTAAACCTCACAAATGTGGATATTGTGGCCGAAGCTATAAACAGCGAAGCTCTTTAGAGGAACATAAAGAGCGCTGCCACAACTACTTGGAAAGCATGGGTCTTCAGGGCACGTTGTACCCAGGTAAGCACTGAAGCTCCCAGGCTGAGCCTGGACCTTCTCCCTCTCAACTCCGCCTGGCCTTCCCACCATGCTGTGAGGGAGGGACCTTTGGGGCCAGACACACTGTGATTTCCCTAGGAACAAACACACTGTCCTCCACTTTCCAAGGCCTCATCTGACTAGACAGAGCTTGCCTTACAAAGTTTTTCCCTCCACCTGCTGCCCAATGACTCACATCTGTAATCCTACTCAGGAGGCTGAGATCTGAGGATTGAGGTTCAAAGCCAGCCCTAATAGGAAAGCTCTTGAGACTCTTATCTCCAATTAACCACCAAAAATCCTGAAGTGGAGCTGTGTCTCAAGTGGTAGAGCACTAGCCTTGAGCAAAAAGGCTTAGGGACAGCACCCAGGCCCTGAGTTCAAGCCCCAGGAATGAAACACATACACACACACACACACACAATGAAACTTTCCACTTATAGACCTGGAGGAAAGCTACATTTAAGTAGCCCTTGAGTTTTTTAAATGAAGATATTGGTTTGTTTGAACAGAACATGAAGCCCTAAGTTTGGTTCTCAACACCAACAAAACAAAACGTAGAGTTGTGACTGATTCTTCATACTTAGTAAACAAAGTATGTGAAATCTGGTTTTGAAACTTCTTTCATAAAGGTAATCAAGTATGAGCTTTCAGGGTCTGCCTTCAATTATCTGTTCAGACTGAGCGCAGAGTATGTCTACCTGACAGGAAGTTGAAGGGGAAGCTTGTTGGAAGAACCTGACAGTAGTATTGAGGCTGTCAAAGGAGCAATAGGGAGGCTGCATTTGTCTTCTAAGCTATGTCATGTATATTCCATGAGGAGACAGCACTTGACTTAAGTCTGAGATGATGTGAGGAGATTGAACATGGTTGCGTTTACTCACAGCAATGGCAGTTATTAATAAAGACCACTTTGGCAATGAGTATAGAAATGACTTATAAGTAGACCAAATACAGCTAGCCTCTTTCAAAACTCTGTCACTTAGTACTTTGGCATTGGAACACTCCCTCAGTGGGACAGTAAGGGAGAAGCTAAATTTCTAGGGTCTGTATTAAGGTTACATACTGTGCTGGCTTTAGCAAATGGTCCATGAAGGGAAATTCACCAGAGTAGGTACACACAGATTATTAATGGCATGTGAAAGCAAGAGAAAAGACTAGAAAAGAAGCAAAAAAAAAATCAGTGAAAATTAGCCTTGGTACTGAGACGTAACATACCACATACTCTGGCTTCTGAGCTCTCTCCTCACTGGTCTTCTGGGGTCCTGGGACTGGCAGCTGGATTTTCAAGGCCTGAGGCTTCTCACCTGAGAAATAAAGAGATTCTGGAATTATCATTTAGTTTCTGTCAAAGTCTAGACTAGAAAGGTAATGAGAGTGAGTGAAAAAGGAGAAACTTAGATGTGAAAATAATAATACTAACAGTAAATTATCAAATTGTGTCCAGAGCCTAGGGTAGAAAACCATAATTGTGTTTCTTTAAAATAAAAATGTTAACACTCAGGTATTCTACTTTTCTATAAAAGCTGAGTTTAGTGGGTTTTGGAAGCAAATGTTCCTAATGATGTAACTCATATATTAATGCTTTACAAATCATTTTAGGCAATCAAAAAGTACTCATACTGCCAGGTGCCAGTGGCTCAGGCCTATAATCCTAGCTATTCAAGAGGCTGAGATCAGAGGATCATGGTTCAAAACTATCCCAGGCAGGAAAGTCCATGAGACTCTTATCTCCAATTAATCACTGAAAAAAAGTCAGAAGTGGAGCAGTGACTCAAGTTGTAGAGTACAAGCCTTAAGGGGAAAAGCTCAGGGGTGTCACCCAGGCCCTGAGTTCAAGCCCCAGTACCACCACACAAAAAAAGTATTACATCAGTGCAAAGCCCTATAGAATGAAGGTATCCAACATGTACTTGGAGTTAAGGGCAAAGCAATGCAAGGAACAAAGCAAGTGGGATGTTCTCTGTGTCCTCCACCACATTTATTACTGAAGATATGACCTGCTTATTTCACTGAGATTCAGGTTCAGATTTCTCCTCTGAACCCTAGTTTTGAATGTGGGTCCAGAGCTCATCTCTCAACCATGAGTGCTAATTCCCATATGGCCAGCCTCCAAGCACAAAGTCCCTGGAGCAGCAAGGAGCCAAACACGCACGCACGCATGTGCACGCGCGCGCGCACACACACACACGCACACACGCACACACACACAGAAGTTGAAGTCTCTAACACTTGGACCTCATCGACTTTATTCTCCTCTCTTGGTCTATATATCAATAAGTTGACTTTCTGGTGATACGTGTTAAATGTTACCCTGTGACATGAATCAGTGTCCTCTAAGAATATTCATTAGTCCCAACTGGTGGTCAAGTGATTTAGAGCACTACACTGATACCTTCATGTTCCAGTTCTCAAAGGGCAAGAAAGCTTATAGCAAGAAACAGGTATCTGACCACAATGTGGCCACAGGTTGAACCAGGCTTTCATTTAATTAGGTTGAGCGCTTCCTACCTCATATTGCATCAAAACATGCGACTTTATGATAATATTGCTAGTCATCTTCGCATAATCTTTGCAAAAAAGCTAGCCAGTTTTTCATCACTCTAACAAACACCTGAGATGATGAACTTGTCAAAAGAAAAGGTTATTTAAGCTCATGATTTGGGATATTCCATCCATGATTGGTTAGCCTCATTGCTTGGGGTTTGAGGAAAAATAACACATCACATCATGGCTGGAATGTGTGATAGCACAAAATCCTTCACATCATAAGCCACACAGAGAAAGGAAAGATTGAGGATCCCATGGCTTCCATGTGAGGGCACACCTTCAATGATGTAAGAACCTCCCACAAGACCCCATCCCTCAAAGATCCCACCACCTTCCATTAGCGTCAGTCGATCCTCAGGACCAAGCTTACGATACATGGGCTTGGAGAGCATCCTAGACCTAGGTATGCAATAAAATCTGGTTTAAAGAATGTGGCTGTGGAGGATCCATAAAGAAACTCCAATGATAGTCCTAGGGGCCCAACTGGGCCTTGGTCACATCTACTCAGAGAACTATGCCAGGGCGGTTTGAACTTTGCCTTCTCATGTGTCATTTCCCTGTCCTGTCCCTCCATGTTCCCCAGAGGCCACCCCTCCTTTGTGTTGAGGGACAGTCCCTCTTAGTTTGGGTCCATGCCTATAGGAAAAGTTTCATTTGTCCGATTATAATTTTATTTAATAAAAGGTTTCCAGTCACCTGTTAAACTTTCCTAACATATTTATGGGGAAAAAAAGGTTTTTCTTAAGCCTCAAGTTACCCAAGAAGCAGAATTGTCTGCCTAAGGACAGAATGGCCAGTGATGTGAGATTTGGAGGTCTCTTCTTTCCCTTACTGTGGGCCACTTGGGAACAAGGCTTTGGCAGACCTTGTAAGAGGTAGGGAAGAAACCCCACTTGAGATATGGGGACAATAAAGGCAGCCACTGGGCCTGCTTTATAAAGGAAGTACATACCAGCAAGCACATTAGCTTGGCAGATCATGAGTGTGATCAGTAGAATGGAGTTTTGTGGATTTACATGTAGCTTCCTATTAATCAGGACATGGGCTGTCCTGGTTTATATTAAGTAGGTCAGCATTCATTGACCTTGACCTCCTTAAGTTAAAAGAAAACATCTCCACCACACACACACACACACACACACACACTCACTCACTCTCTCTCTCTCTCTATATATATATGTGTGTGTATATATATATATATATATATGTATATATCAATAATGGTATCCAATTGGAAGTATTTTTTCTTGTTTTTTAAATAAGATTTTTATTGTGAAAATACCGTACAGAGGGGTTACAATTACATAAGCAAGGTAATGAGTACATTTCTTATCAAGCATTGTTGCCTCCTCCTTTGATTTTTCCCCTACCATCCCTTCCCTGTGGTATTCAACAGTAATGAAGACATAAAATACTTAAAGATCAGGTTGTCAGGTAACATGATCTTTGTACAGGTTTGCTACCAAGCTGTAATGAGGCAAGGAAGAAAATGTGTAAGACAGAAGAGGTAATGAAGTAGGGAAGGGGCACTGACGATCCCAAATTGTTTTTTGTCGGGCGCCCATGGCTCACTCCTGTAATCCTAGCTACTGAGGAGGCTGAGATCTGAGGATCATAGTTCAAAGCCAGTCCAGGCAGGAAAAGCTGTGAAACTCTTATCTCCAATAAACCACCAGAAAACAGGAAGTGGTGCTGTGGCTCAAGTGGTAGAGCACTAGCCTTGAGCTGAAGAGCTGAGGGACAGTGCTCAGGCCCAGAGTTCAAGCCCCGTGACCAACAAAAAAAATTGTTTTGTAAATCTTATTGGAATTGGGGGATTCTACATCATAAAGTCTATCTGAGAAAATAAGTAGGAGGATTGACAAGTCTAGTGCTTACCTGAAAAATGTAGCTGTAATATATGGAATGCTTTGAAGAATACACAGATCAATCAATAACAGAAGTAGATAAACCTGAAAGGCCTTGTGATAAACCAGCACAAGATGTCTGAGAGAGGGGAAAGCAGAGACAGAAGAGAGATGAAATAGAAGACTTGATTAGATATGTAAGAGATAATCAATTGATATTTTCAGTTCCTTTTATGTTAGGAGACATTTGAGGGAAATGAAAAGATTACATTTCAAAAATTTTCCCACTGTAAACACTAGAAGTCATTAAACTAAAACTATGCAAGATATAAAATTTTATCTTCAGTGATTGAAAGGAGAAGACAGCATAGAAAAAAGCAGAGGTTGGCCAAAAAGAGCCCACCAGAGGAGTTTGCCTATGTTCTTCAAGCATAAGCAATGTTTGGGTTTATTCCCTCAGTTTGCCAAGATCTGTAGTGGGACCTAAAGTGATTTCCTTCCTGCTGTGGTAGTCATGGAATCAGACTGCTAGGTCATTTCTGGATCTGACTGGTTTCAGTTCTCAGAGGGCTCTTGCTAGGAGGTCCCATTGAGCTAATGGACATGGGAATATTTTCAAACTTGAAAGGACCCTTCACTGGTTCGCAAATAGATCATTGCAGTCCCACTTTGGGAGATGAAGGTGGTGCTTAGTCTTGTGGTCTTAGTTGTAACATGCAGTGAACAGATATGAAAAGAAGGAACACTGGCACCATTGAAGCTGCTGTCTGCCTGGCAGCCCAGCTGCTGAGAGGATCAGTGATAATCTCACATTAGGGTCTGACTCCTGAAGGAGATTCACAAAAGTCAGCTACAACACTGGACATGGCAGCATCCTTCCAACGCAAGCATTTCTAAACTGGCCTCTCTCACTGTCTTTGACTTTAGTCATTAAAGAAGAAACTAATCACAGTGAGATGGCAGAAGACCTGTGCAAGATAGGATCAGAGAGATCCCTCGTGCTGGACAGACTAGCAAGTAACGTCGCCAAACGTAAAAGCTCTATGCCTCAGAAATTTCTTGGTAAGAGTTAAACGTTTGCTGTCTCCTAACAAACAACTCTATGTGGGTGTTTTAAGAGTCGAGTGGAATTAAGTTGAGGATAGAAGAAAGGAAAATCCTTCCTTTTCAAGACGAACCTCCCACTTTTGCTTTCTTAGATGTGATTTTGGTGATATCCAGAGCCTTTGGTGTGATCTGCTTATCATCACAGTCCCTCTAAGGGTGCCCTGGACTGTGCCTCCCGCCCTCTCTGAGTTCCAGATTGCTATTTTGTACAAGAAACCTGTAACACTCCCCTTATTGAGACTGTGAGCACTCACAGGAAAAATCACATAGTAACTGGCCCTGGGAATGGCTCAGTGAACACCCAGCCAAGATTGCTGTTTTCAACATTGAATCCTTACTTATTCAGCTTCCTTGAGAAACCATTAGCTCATACAATAATACACAAGGCTCCCAGAGCAGGCTCTGGAAGGCAAGGGAAGATCAAAGCATAGGCCACTGTGGACATAAAGTGACCCCAAGGACGTGAGACCATTTTAAAGCCCTCCATGTGGCATTCCGCTATTATTATCAGGAACCAAAGGACCACATCTAGGAAAGAGATTAGTAAGGGCTTTGCAGAGCTGAGATGGATCTTGGGAAAGCAATAGGATTTCAGCATATTGTGGTTATTTGAAGACTCAAAGAGGATTCTAGATAGAAAAGAAAGGAGAAACATCAATGCTAGTGGTAGGTTCTGGAATAGAGAAAATGGGACATGATGGAGGAGCAGATATATTCCAGCTTAGCTCAAATACCCACCAGGAAATAAGGGAATTGAAGGTATCCCAGGTTTTAGTTCTGGCTATGAGACTAATGGCCTTCAACAGCAACATGGGAGAAGGAGCCTCATTCAGAAGGAACAGAAAAAGTGTGGGCATATTTTTGATGGGAACAGCAGCTTGGAACATAGAGATAGCACAGGCCAAAAACTGATTGGAAAGCGGAAGTTGAAGCAGTGGCGGCTGCAGTGGAGAGAGGAGGGAGGGGGAGGTCTGGTGAAAGAGGAAAGGAGGGTGAGGTCCGAGTGGGTAGATGGAGTCAGATACCATTTGGAGGAAGGAGGAAGCGAATGAAGTTCTGGAAAGTGATAAGAGTCCAGTGTTTAATACAAGCTTGACCGCCTGCTGTAGATAGCCCAATGCTGGGAGAGAGCTTGGAAACTGGAAAAATATTCACAACAGCCTGGAGCCTTGGGAAAGTGGCTTCAGGAAAGGGAATCAAAGTGCTTGGGTGCCATCTTCCTTCAAATAGGACTCCATTTTGATCTATTGATTCAATAGATTGGGGAGTGAAGGATGCAGAGGAAGGGTACCATTAGAGCATGGAAAAGGATGAGTTGGGTGTGTGGATTTGTCTATGCAACTCTGAGCTTGGTAACTGCAGATAAGGGAGGCCTTTGGTTTCCTGAGCAGAGTAGAAAGGGAGTCCTGATCTGACACTCAGCTGTTGGGGTAGCTGGGGATATCAGGTGGACTCAGACACAACTTCCCACCCTAGCTGTGCTCAGAAGCCACTGAGAATGGGAGTTGTGACAAAGGGATTGACAGGACACCAGAGGAAAGAGCAGAGACGAAGCAGCAAGTGTGTCCAAGGGTTGTGAAGAGTTATTGACCCCAGGAAGGAGGGTGTGACTTCCTCTTTCAGAATGGAAGCCTGAGGAATTCCAAGTGAACAACGGTAGCCCCTTTCACATCTAGAGGCATTAAAAACACTGTAATGTCTATGAAAACACTGTTATCACCTCTGTCACAAGTTGGGCCTTGTCTGGAATTAGAGGTTTCTGTGTTTGAAGTAACAAGAAAACCAAACCATTTACTCTAGTGGAGCAAGCTAAGATGAGAAACTGGTCTCCAGGGGAGAGGTTAAAGTCAGGAGGAAGTGGATTATGGGAACAGGAGGACCAGGAGAGCAGAAGTGGAGTGTGGAAGGAAGGGCTTGCAGCAGCTGTGTGGGGTTGGTGATTTCCCCAGGAGCTGATGATTGGCAGTTCATGCCTAACCCACTTCCTCCCTTAATTTCACTGCAGCCTGATGGCATTTCCATCAGCCATCCCTACCATGTCATCATTTCTCCATTTCTAAAATAATAATAGATGGATCCCAGAGACCTTCCTTCTTCTCAAGGATGCTGCATTTCTCCTCCAAATCAAAACAGAGATTATAGGAGTTCCAGCTACTGTTACATCTGCTGGTCCAGTATGGTGGAATTGAAAGAGAACCAGGATTCAGGATCTAACCCCAGCAGTGACTAACTGGTGACCTTAAGCCAGTCTTGAGTGGCAGTAGACTCAGCGTTTCTATCTCTGAGATGGACATGGGTTAGATGCTGTGCTTCCCTCCCAGAGGTATTCGGAGGAGTAGAAGGGAAAAATGGATGTGGCAGAGTATTTCACACTAGAAAGCACTTTACAGATGGTAGGCCGTATTGTTTTACATGCTGAATATTGCTCAGAGTGGCATATATTTCCACTTTCTTGGTAAGTGAGCTGTGATTCAGATTTGTACATTTGAGCTGTGGCCTGAGTGCAGATAGTATTTGCTTTGTCGGCAATATTCCTTGCCATTCTGACATCAAAGATCTCACCCTCTGAAAAAGTCAGAACAGGCTGATGGGACCACTGAACCCAATAGGAAAGACTGATAATAAATAGTAGTGCTAATAACAGTCTGGCTGGTTAGGATAAGTAAAAAAAAAATAAATATAAAGAGAAAATTAATAATTATTCCTGGTATCTATTGTAATTACCCTACTATATTTTCTTCTTAAAAAGAAAAAGTAAAGCCAGTGCTGGTAGCTCACACCTGTAATCTTAACTACTCAGGAGGCTGAGATTTAAGGATCATAGTTCAAAGCCAGCCAGGACAGGAAAGTCTGTAAGACTCTTCTCTCCAATAAGAAGTGGAGCTGTGGCTCAAATAGTATAGTACTAACTTTGAGCAAAAGAGGCTCAGGGACAGCATCCAGGCCCTGAGTTCAAGTCCCCCAGGATTAAGAAAAAATAAAAATAAAAATAAAAAGCTTTGGGACTGTGCTCAGACCCTCAGTTCAGGACCCAAGACTGGCCCTAGAACAAAAAAAGAAGAAGAATTAAAGAAAAATTACTTTAGAAATAAAAATATTCATTATGAAGAAAACACTAAGAGCTTTGAATCATTCTTATTCAGTTAGATTATTATATTTTACATTGTCCTACTTCAAAATATTCAGTTCTGTACTCATTTTCTTTGGAATGTAGCTACTTATTACTAACTGTATTTAAATAGATTCCAGAATCTGACTTAAGCCTTTTATCACTAGTCCTGTTTATCATGATTAACATCTTCACCGAATGGACTTTAGCTCGGCTTGATTGCTTGGCTGGTGCTCCATGACCTGAGCCATGCCTCCAGCCCCCCTTTTTCCTGGTTAATTGGAGATAAAGTCTAGTGCACTTTTCTGCTCCAGCTGGTTTTGACTTAAGATCCTCCAGAGCTCAACCTCCTGGATAGGTAGGAGACACCTGTACTTGTTTAAGCACCTTTATGAATGAGGTGCTACAGGTGTTCCATTTTCACCATTGATCTGAACCTTTGAACCTGAAGAGAAACTGGCAGAGAGCACATTCCTGAGCATTACTTTCCTGAGAATTCTAATTCTTGCCTCATACTGCCTCATGGTGATGCTTCTTAAACTGTGCTGTGGGCATGTTTAAGTCTAGTCCATTTTATTTTTTTTTTTAAGATGACTTCTATTTTCTTCTGGCTGCTGTTCCTGGGGCTTGAACTCAGGGCCTGGGCACTGCCTCTGAGCTTTTTTATTGAGGCTAGTATTCTACCATTGAGCCACAGCTCCACTTCCAGCTTTTTTTTTTTTTTTTGCCAGTTGTAGGGCTTGAATTCAGGGCCTGGGCACTGTCGTTGAGCTTCTTTTGCTCAAGGATAGTGCTCTACCACTTGAGCCACAGCAGCACTTCTGGCTTTTTCTGTTTTTGTGGTACTGAGGAATAGAACTCAGGGCTTCATGCATGCAAGGCAAGCACTCTACCACTAAGGTACATGCCCAGCCCAGCTTTTTTGGTAGTTAATTAGAGATAATAGTTTCCTGGACTTTTCTTCCTGGCCTGGCTTCGAGCCTCCATCCTCAGATCTCAGCTCCTAAGTAACTAGGATCACAGGCATGAGCCACTGACACCTGGCTGCAAATTCTTTCTTAATCCCTAGTCACTTACCTAGGTTGGATGTGTCTTGGTGTTTTACCTTCTAAATTAAAAAAAATTGTTCTATGATTTTAATGTGGAAATTCTGTTTTATTCTCTCTGCTTCTGGAAAATTTTTCTTTTACATAAATATTACATTTGTTCTGTACATTGTGATCTTTTTAGAAGGGTGCAAAGTTGTACATACCCTAAAAAATTGTCTTCTGTATCTGTTAGCTTTTTTTGTAAGTTTTTATTTCTCTCTCTTTTTTACTTTTATTCACTGTCACATTTTGTGTTTGCTTTCCTTGTAGTAATTCAATTTTTAGTAGTTTTTATCCTATCATTTGCTGTTTCTAAATTCACATATTAATTAAATAATCATATTGTTTTGGATTTCACTACATTTCCTGAAATGTGAAATCCTTTTTTCCTTCCCTTCTTTTGTTTTGGAATGTTATCTTTGAATATTTTTAAAATCAACTCCATGTCATGGAGTGCATTTATGAGACATTTTCCCTCTCCCTTGAATTAAGGTTATTTTCCCTAACATGGATTTATGCATTTGTTTTACAACCTTTCTTCCTTTGTATTGCTCAAAAACATTTTCACAGCAACCATGACGTTTTTTTTTCATCCTGCTTATTCCACTTGGTCTGATATAGCTTGATTGACATTTCAACGTTCTTCCTACTATATCTGAAACATTTATTTTCCTGTGAGATCTAGCGACTTTTTTAAATCCTGAAAGAATGCCAAGGATGGAGCTGGGGGAGTTCAGACGAGGCAAACTGCTGCTTTTGTTAAAAGACTTTCCTTTGCTCGCTTGCTCTCTCCCTTCTCTTCAGATCTAGTGAAATGTCCCCAACCAGTAGTTCTATAATGCCTTCCATACTGCAGGGGACACTTGGGTAGGGAGAGCACTCCTTCAGTGGATACCATCTAAGCCTTCCTTCTGTCCAGGGGAGCCAGCCTCTCTGGTAACCTCTCCACTGTTCTCCGATTCTTGCTAGCAAAGCTCTTTGATCAGAGAAGGAAGAAGAGCAATTCAAATCTATTTCAACTATTTCTCTATCATTCTGAGGATACAGGTATATGTGGAAAATGTTATTGAACCATTCCTAAGACTTCTGAGAGTGACCAATACCCAGGCTCTGTCCTGTAATGCATGCTAAAATTTTCTGTTCTTTTCTTAGTTATGGATAAATTGGCTGGCTGGCTGGCTGGCTGGCTGGCTGGCTGGCTGGATGGATGGATGGATGGATGGATGGATGGATGGATGGATGGATGGATTTCATTATGATGTGCTCCTTTCCTTAGCTGATTTCTGTTGTGTGGTATTGCTTTTATTTTTCTCATGTTGATGGATATTAGGGAAGAGAAATTCTATGAGTCCATTCAGTATGGCATGCTAATCTGAAATGTATGTCAGTTGTAGGGCTTGAACTCTGGGCCTGGGCGCTGTCCCTCAGCTCTTCAGCTCAAGGTGAGCGCTCTACCATTTGAGCCACAGCACCACTTCTGGTTTTCTGGTGCTTAACTGGAGATAACAGTCTCACAGACTTTCCTGTCCAGGCTGCCTTTGAACCACAATCTTCAGATGTCAGCCTCCTGAGTAGCTAGGATTACAGGCGTGAGCCACTGGTGCCTAGCTTTTGCTGTGGTTTTGGAGAGCAGTACAAACCAGATTAAATTCCTTTTGTTTGAAGTTATCATAACAAGATATTTGGCACCTCAATGCAAAATCAATTTTTAAAAACCCGTGTAGTTTCAGGAATGCTGTGAAATTACTTCTATTTTTGTTTCATGTTGTGTCAATACTGGGACTCGAACTCTAGACCTTGCTGTCTCCCTTAGCTTTGTCATTCAAGGTTGGTACTTTACCACTTGAGCCATACCTCCACTTCTGGCTTTGTATTGGTTAATTGCAGGTACAATTCTCTTAGATTTGTCTTCCCTGTGCTGGCTTTGAACCACATTCATCAGATCTCAGCCTCCTGAGTAGCTAGGATTACAGGCGTGAGCCACTGGTCCTGAACATGTTGTCCTTCTGTAGACTAAGGATTACATTGTACCATTATTAGGACATGTTGCACTTGCTAATCATCAGTGGATGAAAACAAGTGATACTAAGGTATTAAATTAAGACTAAGAGACACAACGCAAAGACACATTACAATATGGTGAGGCTTTCATCTCTGGACAATCAATAATAGTTGCAGATTTTTTTTGTTTTATACTGGTGTTGGGGCTTGAACTCAAGGCCTACCATTCTCATTTGGTTTTCTCACAAGAGCTAGTGTTCTGCTACTTGAGCCATACCCCAAGTTCCAGCTTTTTGCTGACTAATTGAACATAAGATTCTGGTGGATTTGTCTGCCTGGGATGGCTTCGAACCTTAATCTTCCTATCTCAGCCTCCTGATCAGCCAGGATTATAGACATGAGCCACCAGCACCCAACCTGATTGCAGATTCACGAGACTATTATTAGATTTATTAGCTGTGGATCATCTTGCCTTTCTTTTAATAAGGCAAAGCTGAGGATCTCACTGTCAGCAAGAGAGGCATTGGGATCTTCTGTTCTTTTTTTTTTTTTTTTTTAATACTGTTTCCTGCATGGTTTATCTCCCCAGTCACTCTCCACAGGACTCTGGGAAGCACTGGGCTTTTCTTGAGCTACTCCCCTCACTATACACCTCCAGCCACAGCCCATACTCAGAAGAATGAAGTGTAAACAGCCCAGACATTCCCCCGCTGGCTCCTCTGTTCTGACTTATTTACGTCTGTTGCTGAAAATACAAGTCACTGGTCCTGTCACTGAGAGTTCAAGCAGTTGCTTTAAATAATGAATTCACTAATTAAGTAATGATTTTATACTAGACTTAACCACCAGTGCATTGAAGAGGTATATCTTTAAGGAAATTTATTTCACTTCCTTGCTGAAAGGTCTATTCCAAAGCTAATTATATGAAGTTAGCTATCATTTCCAATTTCACCCTTACTGAGGAAAGAGCCTCTGTTAGTCACTTGGTCTGCTTTTCACCACTATAACACAGTTTCTTCAATGATCTACTTATAGAGACAAAAGGTTCATTTGGCTCACTGTTTTGGAGGTTTCTGTCCATGAGCAGTTTGGCCCTGTTATTTTTGGGCCTGTGGCAAGGCAGCACATCATAGAGAGTCCACATGGCAAAGCATAATCACTCATTTCCTGGCTGGAGAGCTGAAGAGAGAGAGAGGAGGGCCCAGAGCCTCCTGTCCCCTCTGAGAGTACTCCGTGAAAGACCTCCCCTCCAGGCCCCTCCTGCCAAAGGTTTCAACATCATCTAGATCTACTGTAGCAGAATTCATCTACTTTTATACATCACTCGTAGAAAAGCATAAGTTGGTTTCTTTTCCTCTTTTCTTCCTTTTTATTTTAATTATTTTAGTAAGGCCTCATCTCATTTTTTGTCCAGACTACTCTGGACTTCGATTCTCCAATGTACTCTTCTTGAATAGCTCAAATGCTAGGCATACACCACCAAATCCAGCTTTGGTTGTTTTTTGTTGTTTTATTATTATTATTATTATTGGTTGATATGAGGATTACAGGTGTGAGCCCATTCTTCTCTAGAGACTAAGTTTCTTGAGGCCACAGCCCAAACCACTGAATTCCCAGCCACAGTTCCCTATTCATCTTTAATGCCTGGTATATTTTTAAAGAATAAATTAATGATATACCCTTTTCCTCCTGCATAGCCTCCTCAGTTTCTTTCCTACTTTATGCCATGTTTCCACTGAGTAGGTCTCCTTGTTCTAAACATGGAGGAGGGAGAATTACAGAATTATATTTAAGTATCTTTCTCACTTAATTTTTGTGCTAATTATATGAAGCATGTAATGTTATTATAAGTAACATAGAATCATTGTATATTACAATTACATATTAACTACTGAAGTTGTAAATTGAATACTATGTCACATAACAATACTTAAATATATTGTATATGTTATGAACAAAGCATAATTATGTATGTTAATTGATGATAAGCAAGCAGTTTTAAATTAGTTACAACATAATTGAAGGCAACTCATTTGAAATACTAATAATAAATATTAATAATAAATTAATTGGATGTTCAGAACCAGCTGTCAGTGGCTGACACCTGCCATCCTAGTTACACAGGAAGCTGGGATCTGAAGATCCTGACTCAAAGTCAGCCCCGACAGAAAAATACACAAGACTCTTATTTCCAGTAACTATGACTCAAGTGGTAGAGTTCCAGTCTTGAGCAAAAAAAGCCAAGGAGAACCTGAGGTCCTGAGTTCAACCTCAGTACTGGCACACACACACACACACACACACACACACACACACACACACAATTAAATTTTACCACACTTAATAAAAGACATGAGCCAAGTACCAGTGGCTCAGCCTTGTAATTCTAGCTATTCAGAAGGCTGTGATTTTAGTTCAAGGCCAACCTGCAGAGAAAAATCCATGAGACATTATCTCCAAAATAATTAGCAAAAAGCAAGGATAGAGGCATGGTTCAAGTGGTTAGAGCTCCAGCTGAGCAAGCTCAGGGCCCTGAGTTCAAACTCCTAGTATCAGCAACATAGAAGTGAATATATAATATGTAGATAATTTTAAAACAAAAGTTTTTTTTAAAGAAACACAAGTGCTGGTTTAGCCTGATAATATGTGTAACCCCTCTGTGTATCATCTTGATAATAATTTTTTTTAAGACATCAAAAAATATATGTGCCCAGTTTGTCAGCCAGGCACCAGTGGCTCATGCCTGTATCCTACCTACTCAGGAGGCTGAAAGCTGAGGATCACACTTCAAAGCCAGCGTGGGCAGGAAGTCCATGAGAATCTTTTTTTTTAATGTATTTTTTTAAGAATCCATGAGACTCTTATCCCCAATTAATCAGAGAAACAGCTGGAAGTGGAGCTGTGGCTCAAGCAGTAGAGTGCCAGCCTTGAGCTCAGGGACAGCACCCAGACCCAGATTTCAAGCCCTAGGACTTGGGGGGCGGGGGGGGGGGGGGGGGGGGGGAGAATGTGCATGGTTTATATGGACAGGGACAGTCTTCTTTCCCTGCTCATTTATGGATTTATCCAACCAGATTTCCTTGAGTGCTAACATCACAAGACATCTGTTCTCAATGGCTCCACCAGACAGAGACTTCTCAGGTTCTTCCTGGTGTGCATGGACCAGTGCCTCATGTCTACCTGGGCGTTGACGCTCCCTGGCTAGATGACCCCTTCCTTCCCCCTTTCCCAGGCATAGGTTTTACTCATAACCACCTGCTTCCCACAGGGGACAAGTGCCTGTCCGACATGGCCTACGACAGCAGTGCCAGCTACGAGAAGGAGAATGAGATGATGACTTCCCATGTCATGGACCAGGCCATCAACAACGCCATCAACTACCTGGGGGCCGAGTCCTTGCGTCCCCTTGTGCAGACACCCCCGGGTGGCTCAGAAGGGGTCCCAGTCATCAGTCCTATGTACCAGCTGCACAAGACCCCGACAGAGGGGCCCCAGCGGGCAAACCACTCTGCGCAGGACAGCGCGGTGGAGAACTTGCTGCTGCTGTCCAAGGCCAAATCGGCGTCCTCGGAGCGGGAGGCCTCCCCCAGCAACAGCTGCCAAGACTCGACGGACACGGAGAGCAACACGGAGGAGCAGCAGCGCGGGGGTCTCATCTACCTGACCAACCACATCACCCCGCTGGCCCGCAATGGCCTGGCGCTCAAGGAGGAGCAGCGCGCCTTCGAGGTGCTGCGCAGCGCCTCGGAGAACTCGCAGGACGCCTTGCGCGTGGTGAGCATGAGCGGCGAGCAGATGAAGGTGTACAAGTGTGAACACTGCAGAGTGCTCTTCCTCGACCACGTCATGTACACCATACACATGGGTTGCCATGGCTTCCGGGATCCCTTCGAGTGCAACATGTGTGGGTACCACAGCCAGGACAGGTATGAGTTCTCCTCCCACATCACGCGGGGGGAGCACCGCTTCCACATGAGCTAAAGATCCCCACATACCCTGGACCCCTCCTCCCATGTGTGGGCTCGAGCACACACACACACACACACACACACACACACAACCCTGAAGAGCCTGCTTCATCTGGACCACGGATAATGTGGAGTGTGGACTATGGGGTGTGGTGTGGATTATGTGGATAATGTGGAGTATGGATTCTGGGGTGGGTTCCTGGGATGTGGTGTTCATTGTCACCAGGCTGGTTGGGTTTCATTTGCTTTTGCAAACCAGATTTCCTTTGGTAGAGGCAAGATGGCTCCTGGAGCCTAGAAAAACTTCCATCTCCCTACGATTCCATAGACTTGTTAAGATACACTTCCTCCCCTTCCCCACTACACACCACTCCGTACAGAACCTGAACAGATTAAATGAAACAAGTCAGATCCTGCCAAGCAGGGTTGTGTAGTAAGCACAAAGTCCATGCATATACCAGGAGTTCCCCAGGTCCCCACAGCTAGAGAGCACTACCTCTGAAGTACTGCCATCTCTAAAGCTTAACAGGTGAGCAATAGGAACAGGTATATGGCTGCTAGGGAGAAGCAGGGACAGAAAGTATACCGAAGCCACAATCTCAGGCCACTCAAAGCCAGAGAAGAATGGCTGCAATCTGAACCCAGGTAACATTAGGTCATCCTTCTCTAAGGAAAATAGAGCTGTCCTAGGCAAGGGAGGGGGGAAGGGATTGCAGAGCCCCCGAGACTCTACCTTGCTTTCTAAGCTTGGTGAGTTTGCCCAGGAGACATGCAGCCTTCCTAAACTGGTTGCAAAGTGTCATGAGTCCAGTGTTCTTGGGTACAAATGTAAAGAGTCCTGTTCTCTGCTTTGTCACCCCTATGCCTGTAATGGTCCCTATCTCCATATTCAACCACAGTCCCGATATTTAGACCTTAATTTGAACCTCTCAAAGAGTAAAATTCCTCAGAAAATCAAGCTTTCTTCCAAATTCTGCACTGTCTTATCTGGGTGTTTATTCTTTCCCCGAGGCTGGTTCTACCTAAAGCCATGACCTTTTACCCTGTCAAAGGCCTAAGTACAATCTCAGTGCTTCATTTTAGTTCAGACCATGTCCTATTGTAGCTGCAAGTCTGGATTCGGCTGTATTTATAAAGGTCTTTCTCTATCCACACCTACATAATTTTTTGTGTGTATGCCAGTACTGGGTCTTGAACTCAGAACCTGGGCACTCAGGATTGGTGCTCTACCACTTGAGTCACAGCTCTAATTCCAGATTTTTGGTGGTTAAAAAGAGATAAGAGTCTTACTGCCTCCCTGCCTGTGTTGCTGGCTTCAAGTCATGATCTTCCAATCTCAGCTGTCTGAAGTAGAGTTAAAATCTTGAGCCACTAGCAACTATTATTCTTTCTCTCTCACACACACACACACACACACACACACACACACACACACACACACACGAATGATTTTAAAGTGAATACTCGTTGTTAGATCAAGCAAATATATAAGTCTGGCATCTAAGTTTCTAATACATGGAGCTCACCAGTTCAAAACTAAATTAACTATTCTACAGTTGTACACCATGAAAACAATGTAGCATTGTGCTCATACATAAATAGGACATTTGGCCATGAACCCTTCATCCCTGAGAGAAATACCTACCAAGCCTGATAGGCAAGAGGCAGAAAATACTAAAGGTAAGACTCTAACCCATGTGTGCTAAAAAATGGTTGCATCCCTAAGCCCACTTCAGGTGGGTGGGGATTCTTATCTCATCCAGAAAGGATCTCCTTCAAGATTAATCCTGTCATCATTGCCATTATGCAACAAGCATCACTTGTTGGAGAGAGAGAGAGAGAGAGAGAGAGAGAGAGAGAATGTAACTTTAAATATCTATAATATTGGTCTTTACCAAAACTGTCCCAACGTGAACCTGAAGAAATAGCAGGTACTTTCTGCAAGTCACTCAGTGTTTCAGGTGACACAAGGATTCTTGGTCTCCAACATGTTGAGATAATCCCCCGTTGTGGGCCCTTCCCTGCCATTGGTGGATGTCTGGTATCATCCTTGATCACAACCCAGTAGATGTCAGAATCTTTCCCTATTGAAATCCAAAAAGTAGCTCCTGGTGTTGACAAATATCCCACAGGGGGCAAAGTCCCTCCCACCTGAGAACCACAGATCTAAATGAATTCTAAGCTAACAGAAAGTGTGAGAAGCCTTCCCAAGTTCAGAAGCACATGAAGATTTATCCAAGTCAGATTATAAATTCTCTAAATGTATAAATAACACCCCTCCAGTCATTGACAAATATACTTTCCCATGCACACTAGAGTTCACAAAGACATCATTCTTGAGTCACAGATCTCTTTTCTTCCAGAATAGTGTGGCATTTTGAAACTAGAAATAAAAGTGTAATGGTAGTAATTCAAGCTCAGCCATGCCAAGGTCCTGAATGATGAAAAACATGGAAAACCTAGGGCCATGGACAACTTTTCTTCAATATGCAATTACACGGACAGATGCGCCTTACCCAAATTTATATACTCAAACATGAGAGACTTCTTTGATTTCTGGTTTGCTATAGGTTTCACCTACCCTCATTCTTATCCATGCATTCCACCCAATCAACAGGAAGAAGGGAATTTACCTCCTCTTCAGCAGCATTCAAAGCTTAAAGCAGAACTGTAAATATTGGCTACAGGACTTGTTTTCTAAAATGCTTTGCCCTTTTCCTCTCACTGCCTTTTATAGCCAATCTAAATGTCTATTTGCACACCTTTTGTTGTGGTTTTATATTGTAACAGCATTTTTGAAACTATTGTATTTAAAGTAAGGATTCATATTATGTCAACAAGTAATTAAATTATGTTTGAAAGGTGGCCATATGCTGTACCAAAAGTTGCTGAAGTTTTTCTTCTACCTGGTAAAAGTAGGATTTTGCATGACCTCACACGTTTTGTTCTATGGTTTGTTCTATGGTTGTATGATGGTGTGAGTGTGTGTGTGTGTGTGTGTGTGTAGAACATCACTGTGCTAGATTTCAGGGAAGTGTGCCTAGATTCCACTCATGGTGGATTCACTCTCATTGTGTTTTATGTAAATACCAGAGGCAGGAAAGCTGCCACAAGCAAGTCAACCAGTTGTTTACGGCTTGTGATTGCTCTCTTTCATTCCCCTTCCTCCTGATCAGCCCAGCTTCAGGTGGAATGTGGAGCCTCTGCTTCCTGCCCAGGTCCCTTTTGTAATTTGTACCGTAGGTGGTATGTTTTCCCCTAATGAGAGAATACCAAAGTATCATTGTGTTATCATTGTATATTCACCAACAGCCTGGCCCAACACCAATTTCTTCAAACCCTGGCATGTTCCCTTTCCAATTTAGAATCCATTATGTAATAAAAATCTTAGAATCTTTATTGAGAAAGAGAATAGCCACTTATGGAGAAGAAGGTTTGTTTTATGTAGCTTTCTCCCCCTCCCTCTGTTGTTGTGCTCTTTTTTCCTTCTTTCTCTTTGTTCTTGCAGTCACCTCTTCTTGCCAAAACAAAAGCAAAAATGGATTCGACTTACATGGACACTTTATGAGGCATTTATGTATTCCTCTATTCTTTAGTTAACACGTGATAATGAAGAGTCAACAATGTCAAACTTCTTTAAGAAATCTAATGAACAAATGAGAGGTTGCAGATGTCATTCGGTGATAGAGCACTTGCCTAGCATGTATAAATATTCGGCCTTCATCCCCAGTGCCACAAGAAAACAGAATGAAATACATAGGCATTTTGGTAGCACAGCCCTCACTGTGAGCAAGTGTAACCAGATATTCATATGCAATATTGTTTCTACTTCCTAATATACTTTCTTTTATCAAGTGTAACCAGATATTTATATGCAGTATTGTTTCTACTTCCTAATATACTTTCTTTTATCATTGTTGAGGTCAAACCTGCTATGCCCAATACACTTCTAGGTCTATGTGCATCTTCTGAAAGGTCCATGCACAGGATTGCAAATGAGAACATGGAGCTTTGTCAGTTCCATCTCTATGATGCTGTTATGTTGTCTGCTTAGCTGTGGGCAGTGATCACTGGACAGATAGATTATCCTTTGTGTACTCATTTGGCATGCTTTTTCTATGATGCTAGAACAAATAAATACAACAAATACTCTGTTGACCCCATCCAGTGAGGTCCACACATAAGAGAAGGCCCAACCTTGCAGGAATCTTCTGTAGTTAACCGCCCCTCCCCTCCCCCACCCCAGTTAGACCACAGGGCCTAGGAAGAAGAAACTGACAATAGCGATGAGATCTTATAGATAAGTGATGATTACAACAGACATGGCCCAGTTCATTGACCAGCTCCCATCTATAGCCATGCAGGCCTTAGGAAAGCCAAGTCAGTCTTGAGTTTGAATGGCAAGAGAAGAGGAGAGCAGGGAATGCATTCTCAAAGTGTAAGATGAAGGCTATGGGAGCTCCAGACACTGGGAGATTCGAGAAACTGCACCTTCCTGGAGTCACCTGCAAACCCATTCTCCATGCCAGAGCTGGGCCTGGGCCTTGCTTATCCTTACTCTTCTGCAGAACTGCACTGATGTGACTGACCCCTGTGTAGTGAAAACCCTTTGTCCCTTTGGGATAAGCAGCCAACCCTCATCTGAGTTCTAATAAAGTGAAGTGACTGTTTATGTTACAGCCAACGTAGTAAAAGTCCTGGGAACTACACACAGGGTGCTGGGCTCCACATCAGGCTCTGATAACAGTACCCAAGGAGAACTTGCCACAAAAAAAAAGAACTCTTTTACCCAGGCAACATCTGTCAGTTTCCAGCTTCCTTTGTTTCCAGCTGCCTTTGCTTACTTAGTGGAAGTCCATGTTGCTCATATATGCATAGAAACAGCAATACAGCCACATGCAAATGTATGTCACCATGTTATCCCATACTTCTTATCATTGTAGTGGTCACAGGTCAGAAGAATAAAGAATATCAACCATGTACTTTAAAATGGCCCGGGTTCAAATTAAAAGAGACAAGTAATTCAAAAGAGGAGGAAGAGATGGTCACCCATGATTCACGCCTATAATCCTAGCTACTCAGGAGGCTGAGATCTGAGGATTGTGGTTCACAGCCAACCCAGGCAGGAAAGTCTGTGAGTCTTATCTCCAATAAACTACCCTCCAAAAATCTGGAAGTGCAGCTATGGCTCAAGTAGTAGAGCGCTAGCCTTGATCACTCAGGGAAAACACCCAGGCTCTGAGTTCAAGCCCAGGGCATACACAAAAAAAAAAAGGTGCGGAAGAGAATTTGACAGAACAGGTGAGAATCTCTTCTGTGGGATATATGTTTAACAATGTACAACAGCCTTGTAGCTTTTTCCTATGAAAGCCTGATTTTAGAAGCACTCAGGTAAGCCCGTCTGGAGACCAGTGACAATGAAAGGAGAGGCTACAAAACACTCCACAGAACAATTGACATCATTTCTGGTTGTTTTTTCTCTTTTTGCTTCTTATTTCTGGACTGAAACTTGGGCTTCAACTCAGGGATTCAAGCTTCTCCCTGAGCTTTGACACTCATAGCTGACACTCTAGCACTTAAGCCATCCTCCTCTTCTGGACTTTTGCTGGTTAATTGGAGATTTGTCCACCTTGGCTGGCTTTAAACCACGGTCATCAGATCTCAGCCTCCTGAATAGCAGGATTCTGTGTCCCCAGCCACCAACTGCCTCTTTTTTTATTTAAAGCGCTCCAAAGCATGATTGTGAATAGAACCTTTGACACCGTAGACCAGGTACATTCATTTACGTTCTTCTGGTCCAAAGAGAATTCTGGAAACAGCTGCTCAATCCCCTTTCCCTGAGGACTGATGTATATTTAAACCTAGAGTTCTATTTTTCTGTGCTTTAACTACAAGCATTGCAATTTGGGAATTGAAAGCCAAAGAGCAGGATTAAGGACCCAAAGTCTCCAATCCCACTTGCAGGAGTTTCTGTCACAGTTTCTATCAGAATCAAACACCGTGGAGGTTTTGTGCTTTGATTCTCAAAACACAAAATCCCTGTGGCTATTTCTGAGAGTTGGATCTGTCTGTTATGACCTCTCAGCCGCATCAAAGAGCTAAGAGTAAAAGACCCTCAGAGAACTGAGCAGTTAGTGGAAGACTCCAAGGAAGTTCTCAGATGACCCGAGCCAGAACTCCACGTTCCTCCATCATTACGGAAACTTCTGAACCTTTCTCTGCACTGGAACCCTGAACAGCAAACAGATGGCCAAGTTCTAAGGTACAGTCTTAGGACATTTAAGGATCAAAATGCCGTTACTTCTCCATAGCATCTTCCTTTCTGTCCCTAAATTCCCTCTCCCCTCACCTTCCAAACTCCTATACCATTAGAGGAGGCAGAAAGGGACTTACTGGGCCATTAGAATAACTACAGTGCCCTCAGGACCTGGGATCCCATTGGCTTCTCCCTCTATAAGCCAATCCTGATCCATTCAGATCCTTTTGTGGACAACTTGAGACTCCCTTAGCAACCTAGCCTTGTCCAAGTGTCAAGGCCTTTGATGACTTCCCAGACTTCAGCTTCTCAGAAGCAGCTTAGAATCACCCACATGCCTGTTCAGCCCACAGCCTTGAGGTTCCTCCTGAACATTGGAAGCTGGAGCTCTTTGTGCTCCCTCTCACCCACCAGGTAAGGGGCAACCCTTCCATGCATGCCAAGCAAACGCCCACCCCAAGGCAGTTACAGCCTCATCACTGGGCCCAAGCCACGCCCATCTTTATATCCATGGAGGAAGTCAATGTCCCTTCTTTGCTGGGGCTGAAATAACTAAAATATAGGCCAAAGAATTTTTTAAAAAGAAAAGCAACATATTAGCTTTGCTACTTACAAAATATGGATAGCAGCCCCAGCTTCAATATGTGGTCACTGTGGCTTTTCCACACCCAATTTCACCCTCAATTGGGTAAACTTGCCCTTGTGGCCACAGGAAGCCCTTTGTATGCCTCCCAAAATGCCCAGGCCTCTACCCTACCAAAGGTCACTATTGGAGCTAACAATGATTTAGTCTAAAACTACGTATCTTAGTGTAGTCATCTGTCACCATCAGCCTCCTGATGCCCAAGACCCCATACCCCACCTCCTGAGTCTTCCTACTTCCATTCAGCTTTCAGGAACCTTCTGCATGGAGTTAGTGAAAACAGGAACTTAACCATGGAACCACCCCAACCCTGCACTTCATTATTTCAAAGTCAAGTACAATTTTCTCCACCAAGAACACTGGATGGAAGCTGGGCACCAGTGGCTCACACTTGTAATCCTAGCTACTCAGGAGGCTGAGATCTAAGGATCACAATTCAAAGTCAGCCCAGGCAGGAAAATCCGTGAGACTCTTATCTCCAATTAACCACCAGAAAACCAGAAGTGGCGCTGTGGCTCAAGTGGTAGAGTGCTAGCCTTGAGCTGAAGAGCTGAGGGACAGCGCCCAGGCCCAAAGTTTAGGACCAAAACCAAAACAAAAAAAAAAAAAACCACACAAATGGTAGAGCATCCAAATGTGAACAAAAAAGTCAACCTCTTCTATGAGGCCTGGAATTCAAGCCCCATACTACCAGCACCAAAAAAGAAAAAGAAAAGTGAAAGAGAAGTAATAGAGAAGAGAGGGCTAAGAAGGGAAAGACAAAGAGAGAGAGAAGGAAAAAGGAAAGAGAGGAAAAAGGAAAGAGACGAGGAAGAAAAGGAAGGAAGGAAGGGAGGAAGGAAGGAAGGAGGGAGGAAAAGGAAGGAAGCAGGGAGGGAAGGAAGGAAGGAGGGAGGGAAGGAAGGAGGGGAAGAAGGAAGGAAGGAAGGAAGGAAGGAAGGAAGGAAGGAAGGAAGGAAGGAAGGGAGGGAGGGAAAAAGCAAGTTGATGCTTAAATTCCCAGCCATACCCTTGACGCAAATCATCTTCCCAGTCACCTACTCTAGAGCCAAGGTACTCAAAGGCACATTACTGGGCACTCATAGGTCCTGGACTCAGCTGGGATCAAGGACTGGGTCCTGAATGATCTGGACCCTCCAACTCTGTAGAGTAATGGAGGACACTAAGCTCATGAGAGAGCCAGGGTCTGGGAGGAGAGAGGTTCTGAAAGAAATGTGAGGTGGCATCAGAAAGCGGGAGAACTAGACGAAATGAGCACCAGCAAAAGCTAGACTATGAGGGAGGGATAAGTTAGGACATTGGAAAGACAAGATAAACAAGGCACTGTTGGTTGGAGAATTTTAGCTAAGAATGGAGAGTCTGGAAAGTTGAAAATAAATTTCTTACTTATTTTTTGTAGCAATACTGGGGCTTGGATTCAGAGCCTCCTGGGCTCTGTCCCTTAGCTTTTCCTTTGTAAACTCAAGGCTGGTGCTGAGCCACAGCTCTACCTCTCTGTTTCTGGTGGTTAATG